CCAGGCCCAGAGTTCAAACCCCACAACTGACAAAAAAAAAAAAAGAATCTCATCTTAATTTCACCATGTTTATCTAACTTTTTTTATATTTGCAATCCATCCCAGTCTTTTAGCTATTCACTTCCATTGTTTCATGAGGAATCAGTAGAAGAACCAATGGACAGACAGGAATTAGTTATGTAACAGCAAGTGAAGGTGGGTTTGGTGGTCCAGGGAGGAAACCAGCGATCTTGGTTCATTTCAGGTCTTTGTCTTGTCATTACCTCTCTGTGATCCATGTCTTGTTTCATATTTACAAGACAGCCATCTATCTCCAAGAATGGAAGAGGTTAGGCAAAAAGACCTTTCCATTTTTTTTTTTTTTGGGTCTGGTGTGGGGCCTGAACTCTGGGCCTTGGTGCTGTCCCTCAGCTCTTCAGCTCAAGGCTAGTGCTCTACCACTTGAGCCACAGCACCACTTCCGGCTTTTTTCTTTTTGCTTATGTCGTGCTGAGGAATCAAACCCAGGGCCTCATGCATGCAAGGCAAGCGCACTACCACTGAGCCACCTTCCCAGCCCCAACCTTTCTATTTTTTAATTAGAGAAATGTGCATCAGAAATCTCTCCTTCCATAACATTAGGCAGAAATGGTTCTTCCTTTTATTCTCTTGCATAGTTAATGGAAAAAAGAAAACAATTGCCCGCAGTAACTTAGATTAATTGCAGTCAGTCCCTTGGCAGTGAAATTACACTACTCAAACATAGTCTTTTGGTGGTAAGGAGGAAGGGGCAATGGCTGTAACATAGATGATTGACAAAGGCTGTTTCCTTAATTGTCAACTATAGCTACTCCAGACACACTTTTCCTCTTCAAATCTTTGAAGAATTGTTTTCCTCCTTATTCCCAAAGGAATCTTTGTAAACCAGCTCAGATGTGAAAGTGCTATATAAATAGTTTTACTAAATATATAGCATTTTCTCAATGAGAGACAATCTTCAAGTTTTGTGCACTGACCCATGTACCATATTATGGTTAGTCTTTTCTTTCTTTCTTTCTTTCTTTCTTTCTTTCTTTCTTTCTTTCTTTCTTTCTTTCTTTCTTCCTTCCTTTCTTTCTTTCTCTCTTTCTTTCTTCTGTCCTTTCTTTCTTTCTTTCTTTCTTGATATTATATATATATTATTGTAAAGATACTGTACAGAGGAGTTACAATTACATGAGTAAGGTAATGAGTACATTTCCTTCAAGTATCGTTACCCCCTCCTTTGTTTTCCCCTACCATCACTTCCCTCCCCACCTCACCAACTCCCTCCCTCTCCTCCTGCACCTGGAGTTGTAAAGTTCATTTTCAATATAGTGTCTTATACATCTCATTGTTGCAATGGGTCAACCTGTATCCCTATTTAAGCATTTTGCCTTTTCTCTTCCCCTCCCCAAGTTAGAAACATAGTATATGCAACATGAAGGCACCAGAATCAAATACACTGAAAACAGGGGGAGGAACATACCAAAGAAACAAAAAAATCACATAGTACATTATATATATGTTAAAAACAATAGCAAGAAAGAAAAAAAACACTTGTATCCCTATCTTGGGGTTCATCTCACTTAACATCAACATATATGGTCATATGCACATACCTTTTCTGCTTGTCCTAGACATATACTAGTTATTGCAAACAAGGGAAACCATGGGACCTAAGTTTCTTTGGGCCTGGCTTACTTCACTTAATATAATTTTTTCCAAGTCTTTCCATTTCCTAACAAATGGGGCAATACATTTTTTCTGATGGAGGCACAGAATTCCATTGTGTGTGTGTGTGTGTGTGTGTGTGTGTGTGTGTGTATACATATATATGTGTATATACACACCACATTTTCTTGATCCATTCATCTACTGAGGAGCATCTGGGTTGGTTCCATATCTTAGCTAGTCTTTTCTTTCTTAATTTCTGTTTTCTGCCTCCTATTTTAAGCCTCAATCTAAAACTCTGGTAGGAGAGTTTCAGACATATCTGTCTCCTACTTACTTTTCTGTAGTTTCCATTTTACTTCTTCTCATACGATATTTTTTAGTGTTCTAACACTGTCCTTACTATGCATAATATAAGCATTGTTGCTGGGTTCTAGCCCTTTGCCTACTACTCCATACCAACTCTTTTCTCTCCATATCCCATGACTCATCTAGGCTTCTGCCATTGCTTTTAGCTAGAATGTTTGACTTTGTCTTGTATACTACTTCAAACAGTGCTATATTACTCAGTAAGTGGCCCAAGCATGTTACTTAATTCTTCAGTCTAAAGTTCACAACCCTACCTTAAACTCTTTGATTCTCCCTTGGGATTAACATAATCTGTTTATACTTGGTTAAATTAGTAATTCTCCCTACAAACTAGACTTGCCACTAATCTTAAGGCTATTTTGTAAGCTTTGGGCCTATGTCCAATAGCCAGGTGATAACACCAGCTGTTTTGGACACTGACTATACTTTGTTATTTGTTGATCTTCAGTGTACCTATGCATTTTCCCACCCCCAGTGTTTTTCCTTATGGATTTATCTGCTGTTTACTACTAAGTCTTGGTAAATCACAGTAAGTCTGAGTGAGTTTTACATAATAGCTTGGGCCTGTGTTTTCCCCTTTCCTTTGGAATGGGAAAAGCCTTCTACCTGACTGTGGTTCCAACAGAAGTTTGAAGGAGGTTAGACATAGTGACTTCAACTCCTCCTCTTACCAAATCTCATAGCAAGTATTTCAGACTTCGAGAAAACCAAGTTATGATTAATGTGAGTTCTGCCATTTTATCATGAAGGCAAAATTGTGCTAAAACATGAAAGAAAAAATGTTTTTTTGTTTTTTTTTAGAAATGTTTAGCTATATAAGATTTTTTTTGTTTTTGTTTTGCTTCAGCTATGGAGTTAAAAGAAGAAAAAGATCTTGTTTGTAACAACATCTTTTTTTTTTTTTAAAAAAAAGCATTACCAAAGCTTCATTGAGCTTGAGTCTTAAAGTGAGAGCGTTGAACACTGACGGTCTTTAAATTGAGAGTTTCCAGGGGTTTAGGAATTTATCAGAGAGGAAAAGGAGGTAGCTAGTTCATTGTAATGATAATGAAGATGACCTTGGTGGTGATGACAAATAGAATGATTCACAATTCCTGAGTCATGCTTGTCATTAACAGCATTATCAGGAAAACATGTGGCTTTAAAGACAAGTACCACAAAACCAGGCATTGCCCTGCAGAAATCTGTGACCAAAGGCCATTCTAGTGAAGCGGAGGAGGAGGGTTGAGTTAGGTAGTAACTTAGAGACCTAATTTTCAGCGCTCAGGCTTCCTAGATAGGAGTTTGCTAATTAGCATGAGAAAGTCAGTGCCTATGAGAGAAAGCCGAACCTTCTTCATTCTATGACACAGATTCAAAGGGGGAAGTGAATTGGTTTTCCACCAGACAGTTGTGTACATTTGGAATAAAATGTTAGTAAATTCTATGAGGCCATCTGGTGAGAAGCAAGCAAGACATAGCCCTCTCCTCAACACCCCTGGTCTTATCTTCTTCTTTTCCATGGTTTTTCTGTTTCTTCGCTTTCTTGTTCCTCCAAACACTGGAAACCGAAGCATACAGTAGTAGTTGCTGATCTAGGACTATTTGGTATGTAAAATACAAAAGGAAAGATTGGTTGAGTTTGGAAACAAAAATGGAAAACTTTTGCTCTCTAATAGGTGCGCAAATTACCTGACTTTAGGAAACAAAACTAAAGCCATACATAAATCAGATAACGAAGTCAGATCCGTGGTTGAGCGCTGTTATCCGCGGGGGAGGGGGGGTTCCCTCGATAAGTTTATATCGACCCCGTCTTTGTGTTTAACTAGAACAAGAGCAACAATTGGAAATACGGTGTCCTTCATCTCCAGGAAAAATAAAGCTTAATCACACAAATAAATGGCTGAACATATGGTGTCTTTCTACATTGCTGGTTTATATCATCAACCACTGCACCGCGGATCAGTGGGCAGGATATGAAATGAAGGAGAAGAAAGGGACGTTTGCTTTCTTTTTTATTTATTTTTAAAATTAATTTTGTTCCCCCCTTCTACCGAGTAGAACACGATCCAGTCCAGATTTTGTCTGTGACTCCGCCTCGGAATTTGGGCTGTGCAGTGAGTAGCACGTTTCTCTCCCTCGCTCTCGCCCTCGCTCTCTCTCGCTCTCTTTCCCCGCCTTTCTCTTTCCCTCTCGCCACCACCAGCGCCCGTCTCCAGGATTTCTCTCTTCCTATTTTAGGAGGACTCTCACAGGCTACCTCCCAGTCTGTGCGGAGCGGAGGTTTCCCCGGGATCCTGTGCATCCCCCCCCCCCATCACATACCTCCACATACACACACACGCACACACACACATACACACACACACACACACACGCACACAGATACACACCCGCGCGCGCGCGCGCGCGCCCGCTCGCTCGCCGGTCCACCTCCCTCCCCGGAGAGAGCTCGGCGCGCCGCGCCGCCTTCGCCCCGCGCGCACGCACACTCACACACACACACACACTCCGGCCCGCCGAGCTCGCAGCGCGCTCCCTCCCGGGCTTCGGCGGCTTTCCCAACTCCGATCGCAGCTCCGAACCGCACCGCACCTCCCCCTCCTCCACACACCC